AAAAAAAAAAAAAAAACAAATAGAAGTTATGTCTAAAAATTTCTTATAGAGTTTGTCTGATCAGTCGTCATTTATCAGAAGAAATCAGTTTTGTTTTGTTTTGTCTTTTTTATCTGCTTAGCTTTCATATCAATGGCAATGTTGGGAGGAGGAAGAATTTCAATAATTTCAATGTGTGAAGTGATAGTGCTTCTGAAAAATGCTGATTCCGGACAGATAGTTGAATTGATTGACATTTTTTAATTTGTTAAAATGGTTCAACAATTTTTTTCAAAGTTGTTTAGCTAAACTTAAAGGGTAAATCAATGAAAAAGATGTTTTTAACTATTAATGACGGTAAAAGCATTGCTATTACTGTTGATTATAATAATTTCAATCGGATCTTCATTTTTTTTTTTCTGACAAGATTTATTGAGGCATCAGCTGTTACAGCTGATGACGAAAAAAAACCATCTTTAAAATCGATGGCCATTATTGATTTTAAAAGGAGTACTTTTCAATTCAGAAAGGCTCACTATGCCAAGAAAGGGTTTCTTCTGCAGCCGTTTAATTCTATTGAACAGAAGTCTCATGATATTCGTAGAAAACTGTTTGCGTCTCATAAAGTTGGCTCAGTTGATACGGTAGCTCTTGAACGCAGAAGACTATTTGCTGCCAAAAAATCATCAGTCACGTCGTTTGATCAGCCGGCTGAAGAACGTAGGAAGGCGTTTTCTAGAAGTAAAGGTGAATCAATAGATATGAATCCATTTAGGGCGGCTCAAAGAAGAAGGGATTTTGCTTCAAAGCGAAGGCGAGTTAAAAACAAGAAATTAGCGTCTCTCTCATGGAACTTCGCTTTTGCAGTGATTTTCTTTGTGCCTATCTCGACGTCGCTTATTTTCATGATCAAACATCTGAGTCTATTGTCGCGTTCGGAGAAAAATTGGTGCTTTTTTGCATTTGGTGCTCCGATATCTCTCCAGTGGTACTTCTAATTGGGAATGCTTACGTCTCTAAGTGCATGTTGGAGTTCTTGATTTCTTCGCTTTCATTATGCAGCTGGTGTAACATTTATGCTTAGTAATGCTTTTTGAATAGACCCTGAAAATTTTTCCTTCTTTTGCTTCTTGCGTGTTATTCAAATGTTAGATTGGTTTGTTACTTGTTACTGTAACTACATTTATAGTTTTTTTCTCTCTGTGCCATATGCTATCAAAGTTAGTATGTGAAACTTTTTTTTCTATTCAAGTGTTGCTGTTTGTAAAATGTTTGCATTTATTATTAGGGTACTTTTTGCTTCTTTTCAAGGATAAACTATACCATCATTCTTACAATAGATTCATCAATTGTTTATAGTGATAGGCTTTAAGCCTTAGGGGTTCTTTTTCGAAACGCCGTTGTTTTGCTTAGCTTTATTTTGATCTTGGAAAATTTCACAGGTAATCGCGAGGTTATTGGCGGGTTATACAAATTTCTGAAACATTGCTTGTAAATTTTTATCTTTATAATATTTCTTTCTTAAGTGTATAATGAACCTCTCCTTTATGCTTTGCTATTGGATTCAGTCAACGCATGACCTCTTGCTTCATACTTGTTTTCTGGTCTCTACTGTGCTAGTTTTAAGCCTAAGATTGATTCCTTATCAAAGCCGGCATTTTTTTCTCCTTATGCTTAGCTGGTTTATTTGTTTCTTCTGACGAATTACGCCTTTAATTGATGTATTATTTTCTAGCTTTACTTGCGCCATATCTCCAGAAGAAAAACCAGATTTATTTCGACCTGTTCAAGAGCTAGTCGACGAAGCGAGAAAATTAAGTGAAGTGACGGTGCCTCTGGTCACAACTGAACTTCCATATTATATGGCTGTGCGTCTTCATCGTAAGAAATTAAAAGGTTAACATTGTTGTTTAATTCTGTTTTTCTTTTGTTTTTGATTAGAAAATTACGAAAATTACGCACTAATTTGTTACGTCATAACCTAATTGCTTGCTCATGTATATTTCCTGAATGATTTTTTAAAAATTGTCATGTGCGTTGAAATTAGATCACATGTATCACTTTTGAACTTGTCAAATTGACTTTCTCATACTAATCTATTAAGAAGATCAGTGAGTTTTAAGCAAAAAATTTACGATCAACATCAACCACAAACAGTGCATCAACTGCTGCCGATTTTGATGGCGAGTTAGTCGGTAATCGAAAACGTCGTGAATTCTGGTTTGCTATTCCACGAGAGCGGGTAGATGGTATTTATCACTTTCTTTTGCAGTGGAACCCGGACAAATACGGTCAGGTTAGTGGGAAAATTTGTTCTGCAACTGCTTTGCAACTGTAGCTGGACAAATACTGCTCTGTGTTTATATACAACTGTTAGTTGTTTGTTTTGTACATTTCTGGTCAGAATGGAATTTTTTTAAAAATTTTATTTGAAAGTTTAAGCTTTACTTTTTGTGTGTAATTGCTTAAACACTGTTTAAATCTATCAATAGTGAACCATTTTTTTTGCTTCTTTTAATTTTTTTAGGGCTTTGATCGCAAATGAAGCATTGAGCCGTTTGAGAAATAGACATTTTTCCTTTTCTTTTTTTTTGTTCTTGTTTTTTACTTCCAGCGCATTATCTCTATCGTATATTATTTTCATAATTTGTGTTAATTTATGTTTATATTTATGATAGTAACAGAAACTGAAAAAAAATTTTTGTGCTTGAGTTTCAGAAATTTTACTTGGTCTTAGAAATTGGTCACGGAAAATGAAGGAGAAAAATTAATGTTACTTTATCTGTAGGATGGTGGTGGCGACGATTTGGCAGGCGATGAAACGCATCCATCATCCGTATCAGGCTATCGTTTCAACGACAACAGTTTTATTGTGCTTGACTCAGATGTGGATGATAAACTTGCTGGTTTGTTAAATTTTTTACAGTTTTACACCAAATGCTTGCTAGTTTTCACTGCTTTTTCTTGACAGTGGCTGTTGCAGTGATACCTTAACTTCTGCTTTATAAAAGTAATTGCTTGTTAGATGATAATTTGCATTGCTTTAATGGCATGTTTAGTTCACTCATCAAGTAGATTTCCTGTGTTGTTAGTGTAATAACAGTATATTGCGATTTTCAGGCTTAATATAAAAATGTTGCTTAACAGTCTTCCTTACTTTTACCTCAACTTGTAAAATGCCGAGTTGCTTTTGGAATGATAAAGTTTTTCAGTGTAAAAAGCAGCACTGAACAATTTTTTAAAAAAGGACTTTTTTAGTGTTTTTTTTTTGGAAGGGGGATGGGTAAAAAAGTTCTTTGTATAAAAAACTCAGAAAATTTTTAAAGATATACCAATGACAAAAACGTTGATTTGTTGGACTGTTGCAGACGTTCACTTCAACGTAATAGTAATTAAGTTTTTATTTTTTCAAAATTATACTTCTTTTACATTTAATGGGCACTTGCACTAGTTCAGTAGCGGCAAATTTTATTTCTTTTATCGTAATTACTGTAGGTTTTTTCAGTGTTCTGAGAACGGGAGTGTAATCGAAAAAAAAAAAACTTGCGCAGTTTTTGTGTAGAATTGAAGATTTTGTACAATTATTGCTTTTGGTGACCTTTAAAAAAGAGTAGCAAACTTTGTCTTTCG